TAGTAGATTACTGTGTTACATGCTGTAAATGGCAGGAAGTCCATTTTGTTCTTACAGAAGGAGTTCAGTGTTGTACTTGGCTTTCTATGTGTTGAAAGTGTAAGTGGAGGCAGAGTACTTAAGAATTACCTTATAAAACTTTTGTGAATGTGTTTTGACAGTATATTCTTTTCTGTGCTTTGAAGGCTGATTCTCTGATGCTTTTGCTTTAAAGAAATGGATTAGGCCATGCTTTTTTTGGTATCATCAGAACTTTGGGTTTTCTTGCTTTACTTTTAATCATGTTGTTCCTAAGCTATATTCTTCCCAATCTAATGACAAATGTGATTCTCAAAAATAGATTGAAATAACTGAAGTAAATAAAAATGTAATAAATGAGAATACATAAGCCTGTCCTTAAGAAGGGGTGATAGAGTGCTTTCAAACACTGATCTAACTTTGTGATATAGGAAGTGCAGTTTGCAAGAAAGAATAACAAGCTTCTGACATACAGTGGACACTTTTAGCTGAGCATTGTTTTGTAAAGGTAGGTCTGGACAGCTTTAAGGAGTTTCAGCACTAATAATAGAGTAGTAGTCACAATACAACTGATTGTTAGAAATAATGTGTTGTAAGATTTAGTTTTTGCTTTAGATCACCATGGATGCTATAGCTAAAGTCACTTCTGGGACATGTATGGTACACACTGGTTGGAGCAAAACCAAAATTCTTCTTGTTGAAACCTCTGAAGCTGAAAGGCAATTAACTAGTTCTTCTCAGAGGAAGGTTGTATTCTTCACTCAGAAGTGACAGTGGGTCCCGTAGGCTCGGGCTTCCAGCATTAGCGATAAAATACACATGGGTGTTAAGTGTGGTGAGAAATACGGTTAGGGTTTGGATATTTGTGTTATACTTGCTTCTTTTCATTCCAGTGCAAAAATCTGTAGTTGTTTAAGAAATCATGTTGATTTAGGTATGATATTTTACATGGTGCTTTGGAAGGTATGTGCTGTCAAAATGCAAAATGATGTGGAATAGACTACTGTAGAGGAAAACACTTCAATACTTTTTTTTTTTAACAATGCACAAGGAAAAAAGTTACAATTGTATATACAAGCTCTTTCTTAACTGCTTCGTAAAATGACTGAATTTAAATGAATGTTATATTTAGTAACTAGTCTGGCTGCTTTGTTCTTTGTCATTACGTTAAGAATTCACTTTAGCAAGAAACAAACTTAAGTACAAACACTTGAGTTTGGCAATGGTTAGGTCAAAACATTTAAGTCCTTAATTAGATGGTACGGAGGCAAAAAAATTGCATGAGTGAAGAAAAAAATCCGTCAGCTCAACTTAATTTTAAAAAATGCAGCTGAATTCCTTCATGTTAATTTTTAATGATACTTCAGAAAGGAGGGTAGCACTTCAGTCAGGGGTCTGACAAGCTTGTCACTTGCAAATAAATCAAAAGAAAATCATTACAACAGCAAGAACCAGTGAATGATGTAGTTTTGTCATTCTTCGATGGGCCCCACACTCAAGTCCTCTATTAAAAATGAATGTATTCAAGAGGCTCTGCATTGAGAACACAAACAATTAAGGGCACTTGAGATGCTTTGCTAAGAGCTGCCATACAGCTAGGAGGGCTTTCATGAGAGATGCAGGTTTCTACAGTCTGCTTTACCAAGGAGCCAAAGAACATGGGCAATTAGTTGTGTTTGTCTATGCTCAAGCAGCTTTCTGCAAAATTTTGTTTACTCATTCTTCTGACTGCCCTACGTGTCTCAAGATCAGCAGTTACATAATAGCTATGTTATATTGGGAGGCCTCTAGAAGTAACTGATAAGTACCTTTCTTTTAAGAATTTCAAATGCATGAGCCCCAAACGTGGAATATACAGCTTACCCAAATGCCACCAGTTACCGATGTCTAGTCTTGATTAACGAAGCTCTCCTAGACTCCTTCAAAAAAGGTTTTTCTTTCAAGAATGAATATTTATATACACAGACACGCGCATACATACTCAAAGATATTTCACCTTGAAAGGTGAATGTACATTGCCCCTTGAACAGCTAGATTTATATTTAATGAACATTCCTTTTTCTCAATTTTGAAAACAAACTTTTGCAACTCCTGACAGGCAAGATTAGGTGAATTGTGAAAGTTAGGTTTTCATGCACAACTTGATAGAGAACAAAAAAAATTTTTTAACATGTTTGTGAATAAGAATAGTTTTTACTAAACATTTGAGGGCAGCAAACAGGAGATGTATGAAGTCTCATGGTGGATAAATAATTTTAAATCCTTTATTTAATAGCGTGTAGGAAATAGTGCTAGAAGGCAAACTGCCCTTTAAATGTAAGCAGACTTTTGTTATGAAGTATAGAATAGTCTTCTTCAGTTTTCTTTCAGTATAAATGTCTCTTAAGTGGCATTTGTAACTGGCAGCAAGAAATCTCACAATAAACTCATTTATGGCATACACATTTAAGTTTACCTAGCACTGTGGATGAATATTAAGGATGTTGTTCACATATGATCATCAGTAATACCCTGCTTTGGTAAAGACAAACTCATATATATTTTTTTTTTCAGTTCTGATATTAAGTCAGGTATGATAGTACTGAGACAATTTTAAAATAAGATTGACTGGGAAAGGGGGAAAGTTGATTTTGCCCCCTCTTTTTTAGAAAGGAAATAAAAATTTAAAGAAACCTAATTGACCTGCGTTGAGACTGGTAATTACTGCATGATGTTGCATTCTTTTGTCTTACTCTGTGCCATTGGGTATGCTATGTTATTGCAGTGAAGCTCAGATATTTGGGACTTGTGCAGGAAAACCCAGTAACGTGGACAACTTGTGTGTTTTATAGACTCTACTGAAAATTGATATTTTTTTTTTCTTACAGCTACAATAAGGATATTTACCTCAGTATTACAGAATAGGGAGACTTTTGTGTAGGCCATACAGGCCAAAAAACTTTCCAGTAGAAACCAGATGAGTTTCTTTACTTTTTTCTTTCCCCTCTTATCACCTGCTATGATTCATCCTGGCTTCTGTCCTGAAAACAAAGGTAATCCCATTGGTCTAGGGCAACTAACTTCTTGGACCCTAAACATTTTAGCTAAATGTCAGCTAAATGGATTGCTGTCTAACAGACTTTCTTTCCATAGCTGGCATACCTTGGTTTCTGGAGAGACGTACGAGGTGTGTGGAAAAAAATGCCCTTTAGTACATGGATTCTCACAATCATGTAGTTTTTGTTCCTTGTTAACAGACACTGAAAGTACCAACAGATTTGGCAATAGTTAAGTCTAATAACTGATAATAGTTAAGCTGGTAACTTCCTTCTTTTGCCTTTGCTGTTATGTATGTACTACCAGTACTAAAGGCCACACACAGAATGATGGGTATTTTATGGTTGTGGCCCAAACAAATCAGAAACAGACCGCTGTGGTACTGTGTGAAATGGTAGCTGTTTCTATTGAGAAGGTACTGTGTGAAATGGTAGCTATTTCTATTGAGAATAGAGATCTGTTCCTCTTGTTTCAGGGGAGTAAGGTTTGCTGTAAAGCAACTGTCACTTCAGTGCCCTTACTTAAGGGGAAGCTTTTTGTCCTAGGAAGAAAACATAGCAGAATGTCTTTGGAGACTCTTGTCTCTGCAAAACTTTAGGGTGGATGTGTCAAATGCCAGACTTTCATCAGGGGGAGTACTTCAGCTTACATCAGAGAGACATAGTGTTTTACAAGTCTCAATGCTATCAAATATTTTCCCTATGTCTGTCAGAGGTGGAGA